TTTCAACAAATATTTCCATACAAAAAGTGCTTCACCAGCGCCCACCGGTGTGGGCTAATGCTATAGTAACAGCGTAATGTCATTCGCACATAATACTTTTTTGGCGTTGTACATGTGAGCATATGTGTCTCAATATTTGGAGCAATGTCTTTTACTCCATAGTCGTAATAATAATTTATGATTGAAGAGCACAGATTCGGCTCTACCTTCGAATGTCAGCGTCGACGGTTTTATCAGAAATTATATACGTACACCAGAAATTCAGCGATTATGCAATGCAATAAGATATCGCTTTAATCTTTCTGACACATTCAGTGGCCAACCAAAAATGAGAGAAGACTTTCATAATAAGTTGTGGTTGCTAGCATCGAAGACAATTCGGCGTCTACTCGCGCTTTTTTGTCTGAAATTTGCCGGTTTGATGTATGATTTAATCAATTTGAATTCGTCAATTGCATTGTGATGCATGCTTGAACGAGAAAAAAATGAATCCAAGCTCACTCTCGCCACACTCAAGTCTAATGCTATGACAAAATACTTGACAGAGTAGTGGTAAAGCGTGCGCGCTTACTATTTAAAATTTCAGTATATAAAGTGGTCAGGTCAACCAAACCAGCATCATTCAATCACTTCGTCTCTTACAAACAGTTCGATTAAACAAACCAAGCTCAGAAAATGGCATTTAAGGTGAGACATTTTATTTTTTTAAATTGATTGTTCGATTGTGAGTTCAAAGTTATCAAAAACGAAAAATTGATTTAATTTATTTCTCTGTTTTATAGTTCATTGTTTTGTTCAGCATTTTGGCTGCTGCCAACGCTGGTCATCTTACACCTGGATACGTTAGCTACGAACCAACTGTTGGAGTTGCAAAGACCGTTGAATATGCTGCTCCAGTTGCCAAAACTATCGAATATGCTGCCGCTCCAGTGACCAAAGCCATTTATCAACCAAGTCCAGTTTATGCCAAGACACTTTTCCAACCTGAACCATACAATTACCATGCCGAAGCTCATGCATACCCA